ATTTTCTCTGGAGTCTGAAGAGAGACAACTGGGCACACACTGAATAACCAGAGTGCTGTTTGCACTGGATGGAAACTGCTCCTGGCGAGCTTAAAATCTTTCAATAACCAATGCCAAACGTCTCTATTATAAACCAAAGTTGTTTTGGGGTTTCCAGTGCACACACACATTTTCTTATGTACATAATTTCATATAACAAACATGGAACTCCAAATCTGAAAACAAATCATAAGTGAAGTATGAGGGCATTGCACTAGATAATCAAAAATGCAAGATTGACTGCTATAAAGCATGTATTTGCAGTGAAATTTCATACAGCACATCCCCTTTATAGGCTTGGGTATTCTGGCAGAACTATGAAGAGGTACTAGAGCATCCACAATTCAGCCCCTTTCATTGTGAATGTGTAACTTGCAAAAATGCAAGTGGAAAAACGTTAGTCCAAGAACAACTATGTGTTGCATTTGGAAATTTGGACTGCATCTGCTTTATTGCGAATTCAATGTCATTTAATGTGTATTTTTGCATTTTTTTATTCTGGTCCTAAGCCCAAGTGCTGAAAATAATGCAAGGAAGGTTGAATTTGCATCATTTCTGGACAGAAAAGAAACCTCCCAAGAGAGCCTGATCTGTTTGCAGACTCAAATCAGTCTAAACACTGGAGGTCAGATAAATCAATTCTCATTTACCTATTAATAGTCTCTATCTCTATATAGTAAAATATTTTAAACTCAGGAAAGTCTTCCCTGTTGGTAAACAATACGCTCCACAAATTTCAGCTTACAAATCATGCTGCAAGAAACAAATAAAATCATTAACAGAGAAGATATCTGGGACACTAATCTGGAACACTCTGTGAATGATTGTCTTGTGTTTACTATAATCAGCATACTTTACATAGAACAAAATGAAGAGAGATTACAATTAAGATAAACTATTATTCTGAATCTGTTTAAAATAAAACAATCAACCCTTAACCTAAATTTAAGTAATACAGGATCAGCTAAAAAAGAGCTTTCATAAAAAAAGAATATGCATTTGGACTGAGAATATTTCACAGTTATTTTCATGTTAATTGTATTCTTCAGGAAGAGAACTCTTCAGAATGGGATCTATTATGAATATGCTGACAGACACTTAAGCATTACGGTGGTAGCAAAGTGTAGAAAGCTCTTAGGGTTGTCAAACCTTTCATTCCTTCTCTTTTTTCTTCTTTTTTTTTTTTTTTTTTAAACCAGTTCTCTGCAGCTAATGATTTATTATTGCCACAGAAATACACAGTTGGTCACCTACATTTTTTAATGTGTGCAGATTTTAACTGAATGCATTTCACAGCTTGTTCAGAGAACACTGAGAACAGTATTTTGGGGTTAGAAAAGAAATAGAGTATCAACAAGTAAGACCTTAAAGCTGCAGCAGTATTTGCTGTACACTCAAAAGATGAAGCTCTGTCCCTTTCTGAGCTGGGGGGAACTTTGCCAGCAACACTGCCAACACATGCCAGCTCCCATAAGTTGAGAAAATAATAGCTCTTTTTTCTGGTTTGATGAACAAACTGTAAGAGCAATTACATCATTTAATACTCAGGTAAATCAATAGCACTTGACAACTCACAGCAAACAGGACTCAGAGAGAGAGAAGAGGTGGGTGAAATAAAAAAAATTCTTTTTGTTCAAGCTGAAGCATTTACTTGATCTGAAACAAAACATTTTGCCTACTGATTATTTTTCAGTTAAGAAAATACAAATTTAAAGAAAATGTCACTTCAGAATATAAGTGTTTTCTTTGAAAAATATCCAATGTTTCAGATTTTTAAAATCTTGTCTCATATTTTTCCAATACATTTGTGCACTAAGTTGAATCTGAAGCTCCAATACCTTTCCTTTGAAACCACATTTTTCTATAACACAGACATAAAGGCCACAGGAAAGCTTCCCCTGAGCCTCTGCAAGATCAAGGCATTAATTCCAAACCTCTACTATCCTGCCTGTGAGTTGGGACTTCCCAAAAAGAAAACCTTCATTTTTTACATAGTTAAAGATCTGGACTAGAAGAACTCTAGTCCCTTCTTTCTAGTCCTTATAATAGTCTGTAGATGAAAGGACAGATCTGTGTGTACATAAAAGCCTCTCCAAGAAGAAGTAATTCGACTAACAACATGGCACAGCAACCTTCTCTCTCACTTTCCTGCATCATGTTTCTCATTCTCTGCCCAGAAATTGTCTACTTGAGTAGTATAAGCTTTTCAGGAGAGGACTTTCATTTCCATACTTCTCTGCAAAGAACCCAGCCAGGCAGTGATGTAATTCTGCCTCCCTTCCTCAGCATCCCCTCCTAACAGAATACATCATTCATCTTGTCTGAGCATTTTGTAATCATCAGTTGACTTCTGTGGGTGATAAATTAACCAGCAGGAAAAAATAAGGCTGCGGTTCAAAACATCTCCATTCACTTCTTTCCATGCTTCTAGAACAAGTTAAACTATTTCCACTTTAAAAATGGAGAAGAAAAAACAAGGACAAACATACACTACAAGCTGAGCATTATGAAACACCTGCAAACTGTTCTGCAGTGTTGCCTGAAGAAGAAAAAGAAGCAACTCACAGGTGGCTGGGAGAATAAGATTTATGCCTGAAAATACTTCTTTGTCACAGCAGAGAGAGTTGGAATCTGCTGTGGGCTCCTCTGATAATAAGGTATAACTGACAACTCTGCAAACAGGCTTAAAGACTCTGATTCCTTCTTTAACAGCGCTGGTTTGATTTACATGACATTTTTATTACTGCTGTGAAAAGAACACCTCGTAGGCAAGGTCTCTTTCTCCTTTTCCCCCGTGCATGTCTAACATTTGGAGATTTTAATTCAAGGAAAGGCAAGGAGGCAGGTTGGAGGGGGGGGGTCATCACCTCTGAGTCCTGCAGTGGTGATTAGTTATTTTTTATTACGAGGCTCTGTAACAAGGTCTAATAAATAAGGAGGAGCTCAGAGCCATACATCTATAACTCACGGTGAAGTCTGCTTACCAAAAGATCAGTTCCATGGGTTTAACAGAAATGTTCAAGTCATGTGCATCCTTATTTCAGTGCTTTCATAACAGCACACTAATTGACTGGTAACTATGCATGCTAGAGGATGCAAACTAGGGATGGATGTTTTGTATGCCCACATTGCATTGATTTGCAAACCTGAACTCTTATCATACATAGCAAATCCAGTGACATAATGGGTGTGTACAGTCCAGGGTAAGGACAGCACCAAAAATTCAGAGTACTACTAAATCTGTGAACTAATTTAAGATAGGGAAAGCAGAGTTAAAATGTTAAATATCTGCCAAAGGAACAACCCATGGAGTATCTTGGTCTGGGTGTAACCATTCCCAATTACTCATGGTTTTCTCAACATTAACAGAAACATTCTGGTTTCCACATAGAAGCAAACTGATGAGAAAAGCATCTAACCAGCAAGTTCACCTTGTTTCATCAAATTTGAAACATACATGTCATTTTTAGAAATCCATCAATAAATGGGACTGGGTGAAAGATGTGTGCTGGCTCAGGGCGCTGACAGAACAGCCAGTGCTGCTCAGTTTCCCTGAAGCAGCAAACCTGTAATGGGCCACATGAGCAAGAGCTGTTACTGTGAACAAAAAATCTGCAAAAAGTTACTTCTGCAGTTGTCACAGCTACTTCTAAATGAAAAAAAAAAAAAAAGGTGGGGTGGGGGTGGATCGTGGTGTTTCGTCTGCATTTGTCACAACTACTTCTAAATGAAAAAAAAAAAAAAAGGTGGGGTGGGGGTGGACCGTGGTACTGCTGGAAACAATACAGTAGGTTTTGGTAAATGCTCTGTTCTAATGCTGGATGTGGTGCACAGGAGATCAGGTACATGATAAGCAACTTTGTTGAAAAGAAGATTCACTGAATTGTGACGTGTCTGTAAACTGAGTCAAAGTATTTTAAGAGTGAGAAAAAGGTGTCACAAAATGAGACATGAATGCATAATGAGATGGCACAATGAAGGACAAATACAGCTTTTTCAAACTCAATTTCACTAACAAATGTACACAAAGGAAAAGTTTTGAACTGTGCTAAAGCTGGCAAGCTCTTTAAATACAAACCTCAAATTGTCTTTCCGATGCAGAGGAAGAACACGACCAAAATCACTGTTCATATAGATACACCAAAGAGGACACAATGTCGTTATATGCTGATGACTTGCAATGGCAGAAGTTTCCAGTAATTGTATTTTGTGGTCAGAAGCCCAAAAGAGGATTGTATACTTAAGGCCACTCTGGCAATACATGATAAATTTCATCTGTATGCAATTAAGGTGTAATGTTAGGTCGGTTATTTTAGTGCATCTTAATAACTAGTGGCTAAATGGCTGAACTTCAAATTATTGACCAAGTAATAAAGCAAAAGAATCTCTCTGCCTGCTCTCCAGAATCACTTTTACAAGAAACAAACAACTCAGAAATGAGACCAAAAAAAAAAAAAAAGTGCAATGGAAGGTGCAAAGGCCTTGGCTTTCTTTATAATCTATATTCATTGTGTCTACAGGAGCTTGGACTACCTTGTCCAAGGTATAAACATAGGTTAGTCTTTGTTCCAAGAGCTATTAATCAAGTAATTATTAAACAAGAAAGACAAGAAGATGCCATTAGGTGCAAAATCCATCAAAGTTCACAGAGATACAAGTGTTTGTTTTCTTTACAACATTGGTACAGCAAATGATAACCAGCATCTGGAAGAAGCCAAGCACAAGTTGGATATCAGACATCCTCACACAGCCACTTCCTTCTCTCCTTTAAGTGATAAACATAGAGGAACAAATGCTGCTTTTCAAAAGCCCTGGTTAAGGCATACTGAGAGCTGTATCACAGGCAGACAACACATTCAGTAGAAGAGAGAAAGTATAGTGACTTTGACAGGAGGCCATTCATCTTTAAGATCAACACTGATGCTGAAATGAATGTTATCTTGCCAAGGACTGCCACAAGGGGCAGCTGTAGCAGACAGCATCATTTCCACATGGGGCTAAAATCAAACCCCAGAACACTCAAGGGATGCCTCAGCTACCATCAGGGCAATTTGATAACGGATTTTCAGGCACACAGATAGCTACTATGTCTTTAGAGTTTATTCGCTAGAAAGGAGAGCAAGCAACTCACGCTGCCCTGGTTCCAAGTCATTCATCACTCTTTAGACAGAAAACTATTTCCACTTTCAATTAAAAACCTGTTTAAAAAACATCCAGGAGGCTTTTGGGACATACCATGTTTTTAGCAGTAAATATTCCAAAAAGTACCTGACTTCGCCTTCTCTAATGTGACCTTCTAATTCTTCTATGAATTTTTCCCCTTTCATCCAGTAAATCATGGGGCCTGATTCTCCACTGAATCCAAAGAAAGCTTTGCAGGCCACAGTCAGCGGGTTGCCTGAGGATAAGAAGAAAAAAGAGGGTCAGACACTTTGTCACAACTACTAGTGAGAGAACGATTATGAGAAATCTCAGCACCTCAGATAAACCTCCCCAGTTAAAATGGGGGCGTGGGGAAGAAAAAAACCCAACCATAGGAAATAGGTTGATGTTGATTTGCATCTACAGGAAATAGCTGTGAAATAGAACTGAGGTTATCCGTAATTCCATCTTTATCCAGAAAGATACTACATAAACAATGAGAAAGTATGGAAATGGTGGCAACATAAGGTGATGTCAGATTGATTGTTAAAAAGCAAGAGATGACATCTTTGTCAGACTCCTGGGATGTCTACCAGGACTAGGGAGTGTGCCCTAAGTGGCAGGTAAAACACTAAACTCACTAAACTTGCTTACGGTTGCCCATCCACTCATAGGAAAGACACAGTAAGAATTTCTTCCCTGTTTATATAGAAATCAAATGCTAATGAAGTCTTGGTTCAGAGAGCTTTAAAAGATCCCCAAGTAATATATGATGCCAGAGAGCACCAACAACACTCATGTTACTGTCAATAGGTTTTGGCAAAGGACGAAACTTCAATGCAATAGAGTACAGAACAATAGAGTTCAGGCAATAGAGTACAGAACTCTTCCTTTCAGCTTTGCAAAAATACTTCCAAAAGAAAGAAAATAAAACTTGGAAATTAATCAGATTTCTCTCCAAGAATTCAGCATTTTGTTTGGCTACAGCTTTAGCTGTACTAGCTAGTACAGGACTATGCTTACAATGCCAGGACAGATGGTTGTCTGCCTGCAGAAGACAAAAAATAAAAAGAATTAAAAAACCCTTAAAGAAGTCAGGAAATGTAGAAGAACCATGCCCATTCTCTTAGTATGCAAATACAGCTGCTGCATCCACTTCTCTTTGTCTCTTCTTTATAGCATATGTGGTCCAGGTTACAAAGCAGCTGTAGAGTCACCAACTTACATGGGACGACAGACCTCATTTCATGTCAGTGGAGACTCCTGCTTAATGTTCCAGCACTTGGATCAAGCATGGGAAGTCCAACTAATGCACTTACTATATTTGGAAGAGATGTTATATTGTGTCAGCCATTCTCAGTGCCAGCAGGAGACTCTTTTGGTGCTGAAATAGAACAGGCCCATACTCTTCAAAAAGGGTTAGTCATTTGGAGCACCTCACTTGGTAGAGCACAGGCTAACAGTTTCATCTGATTGTCTTACTGTGCCCTAATCAGCTATCTATTGTATGCTCAGCAGTGATAACTCACTGTGGGCACACTTGGAGCATATCAGAGCTGTGTGTTAAAGCATCTTTGCCTAAGCCCCCACAGAGCTGTCCTAAGTCAACTAATTGCACTCATCTATCCATTATTTCAGTGCCCAATTTAAGACATGTCAAAAGAGTCTGATTAGATAGGAAGTGCAGCACTCCCAGCCACTGAAAATCAGACGCCTTTAAATTGTTTCCAAGTCAAGATCGAAAATTACAAGTCCTTTTGAAACATTAGGATACAGCAAGAAAAGGTTTAAAGACTGCACTTCAGTCTGTTTCTTAAATAGCAGAAGACAAAAATAGAAAATGTTTATCCTGAAAATGTTTTACAGACTCTTTCATTATCTCCACATTCCCTATGAACTCTGGTACCACAGCTGTCCACTGAACACGTGCTGATGCTGACAGATTATATACAACCAGCTCAAACATCCAAATATAAGAAGGGGGATATTCACAGTTATCTGTACATCCCACAACACTGACCACCATCACAAGAAAGTTCCAAACTTCACGAACTGATGAAGAGTCAGAAATACTTCTAGGCAGATATTTAGTTCCACTACAAGACGATACAGAAGTCCATTTCCTCCTGCTCCTAACCCGCTCACCAGCCTTGTGAGGTGCTGGGTGCCCTCCATGGTGGGAGAGGAGAATTGGAGCCTCAGGCTGCGTCCATCTCATGCTCTCCTAACGTGCTGAATGCCCATGTAATGTGAAGTCTTTTGGGTCACTTGCCTCAGAGTCATGATACACACCTGCTTAAATACCATTTGGTGATTCCTAGCATGTGGTTGCTCAGTCCTTGTTTGATTTTAACGGAAAAAGACAAGTGTAGCAATGTGAAAAAAGGAAAGAGCTAGATGTGGCCTATCAGCACTGACAGTATATGCCTTTTTCCTGGCACACCATGCTGGGCATTAAGTGCTACAGGCAAAGTATATTACAGGGTGTGCTTTTCCTCAAACCAGCTGTTTTTACTCAAAAAACAAACCCTGAAGAAATGAGACTGTTCCAAGGTGAGTGTAAGATTTCTATAGATGCAGAGTAAATACCCTAAGGTAATACGTTTCATCTGAAGAATACAAACAGGAAAACCTAAAAAACCACTAGTTGTTGGTACACAGCTTTTGTAATAAACAAACCCAATATAAGGCATCAGTAGCCTTTACTGTGACACCCTGCGTACTGTGAACATGCCTGGGCAGATCCATTTCCCATCTTTGCCACCAAGGGAAACCTGGTGGGAAAAGCAGAGTGAATTAGCATTTTCAGCTCAAAATCTGGGACTGGCCACACCTGGAAAACCCACAGTCCATCTCATCTGCAAACCCATCACTGATCAGAGGGAGGAATAAGCAGCTGTTTCACATAGGACTATTTATCTCAGTAGCAGAATGATGCACGTCTCGGTTGAGCTGATCTGTCCTGGGGTGGAAAGAGCTTGGGTCTTTATGACACTGGCTCTTCTGTAGGACATGCTCTTCCGTAGCTCTCTGAAGCAGCTTCTGGTTTGTAACTCTCATCACTCTTTTGTGGCTCTGGAAGCAGGAGAAAGAAAAGCTAACACAGACTCTTCCTTGCAGAAACATTTTACCTCCTCAAATAAGCTTCCACGAGGAACGGAAGGGAGGTTCCCCCTCTCCTGCCATGTCAAGACACAGCTGTCCACAGCTGCAAACTGTGACTACCAGTTTTCAGGGAACTCCAACTAACTTCCATCCAGAAGAGAACATGGCATGTCTCACTGCATTTCCCCCCATGTACTGAGATCCCAACACTGCAGCTCAATTCCCCAGTTCCTAAATGTACTCTTGAACATGGGGAGAAACAGACACTGAGCATGGAAACTGTCCTTTGCAGGTCCTGATTCTGGGGCTGGCTTTGAGCCATGTGGTATCACACTGAGTCACAGTTCCAGGCAGAAGGAACTAACAGGCAATTAGTAACTCCAGCAACTACTCTTCCATAAGCCCAAACTTTTGCAGATCATTACTGGTATTCTGCATGTCACTTAAGTTCCACTACTAACTGTTCTTACTAAGAAATATTCCCCTTGCATCATTAATATCATCAAAGTTCCTAGAATGAACAGCATCCTGAAAGATTTCCATTTATAAATTGTTTCTCTTTAAATCAGATAGACATTTCAGTTGCAATTTTAATTACTAAACTGATTTGCTGAGAAAGAGAGAAAATTATTAGTGAGATTTCTAACGAATCAACACTGAGGAGAATGTTTTAAGAAACAAGAGAAGAAAGTAGAAAAGCCTACTTGTAGACATCACCAAATCTACTGCTTTGTTGGGGTCACCTTGTCACAGGAAAGCCTCAGGTTCCAGCAGAATCTCTGCTTTAGCTTTTTTCCCTACTCTGTCAATCACACAGGCTTGTTGCCAACTCCCAGCTGATAAGACACAACCACTGGCAATAGGAATGACTTTTATTGCTAAATCATATTGTACATTTTTCACCTGACCCTTTCCACAATGTATCTGTGTGAACTCTACCATACATTCCGGTGATTTTTTTTTTTTTTCCCCTGAAGATGAGAATTGCACAGAAATGCAGTTATTCAATCAAAATAGCTTCCTGGTGGTGGTAGGAGCACTGGCTAAGGATGGAAAAAGGGTCTGCAAAAGAATGTTGTCAGGCACGATTCTGAATGTGCTTACTGCAGGTCTGAGATGTTTTGAAAGAGAATGACAAATCCTGCAGCACAGTCTCTTGAATGAGGCATGCTCCAAGCACTGACTAAATGAAATTTAAAATACCTGAAAGTTGTTGTCTTTTAAAAACTTAGATGCTAAGGCTAGGTGACTGACCAGCACGGAAGACAAAAGCTGTTCACAGATTCTAAGATCTGGCTAATGCCAAGGCACATTTTCAGGCATTTTTTTGAAAATACAGTTTGATTATTTGTTTGCACTCATTTTGCACAAGTAGGTGTATTTTTTTGCTTATCTGTAAGCATCCACTCAAGGGTGCAACGCAGAATTCATATTCTCTGATGTCCACATTCTGCTGGTGCTCTGTTCTTCGAGCAAATCAGGCTTTCACTTATGGAGCAAATCATACCAGAGCAAAACCATCAAAGAGCCAAAGTCATCTATGAATCCTTGGGCGCTTTTTCTCTCTGGCTTGAAACATCAATGGGTTTTCCAATTCTTTCACATTTTTGTGCCAGATACAATACCACTCTGAACAAGCCTGAATTGAAATAGATGATCTTGGCAAGCTACTGGCAGAACTGACTGACAGTTTCAAAGGAAGACCTCCTTTAGCATCAAGCGACATCAAGTTAATCCTGCACATGTTGCTAGTTGGATTTACATCTTCATCTCCACCTAGGTGTTAATACCACTAACTGTAGTATCATTACTTCTAACTATTCCAGGGCTGGATACTGTATACACACAGAAGGGAAGACAAGTGCACTGCTGTCAACAAAAAAATCATTCCATCACTCCAATTCTATCTTATTGATGCATATGCATCGTGTAGCTCCTCT